TAAGTTCGTAACTAGAGGTACCACTGTACCTGCTTTGGTTCTTGTGAAGACAGAAGTGTGCATCCCTGATTTAGGAATTGCTTCTCCTTACCAGTGAGTACAAATGAACAGATTAGTCAGCTAGAGACCATAAAACTCCTTACCAGTGAGTACAAATTAAAATAGTCAGCTAGAGAGACCATAAAACACAGAATTAAATAACTGTTGGCTGAAAAGAATACTATTGCAGGCTTGTCTCAAAGACAGATAGAAGATGCAAATATAAGAGATGGTAAGTGGGATGGGGCAAGGTTCTGGGCTCCACAAATAATAGGCCCACATCCAAAGCATGGTTTAGTATCTGGAATTATCAGTTTGCTCAAAACATGTCATTTAAAGCAGGAAAACTAATTACTTAAAAATACCAATAATGATTTCAGCTTCTTGTTCTCTCTTTCCCTCCCCCTAATTTGCTAGGCTATTGATTTCAATACTGTAGAGAAAAGTAATTGGGGGAAAAAGTTACATTGCTAAAAGATGCTGTGAGAAGAGTTTTGTATCTCTCTGCTCCCATCTAGTTGTCATCCAGGTTTTTGCAGCCCAGATCTGGTAACCTTGAAATGGGCTCAAATGAGCATGTGACCTAGCTGACCTCTCAGAATTTTAAAAAGGCATTGATGGTAATAGTACACAATAGATGCTTTGGGACCTGTAAGGAACAATGATAAGATACCTGTTTACTATCGGGTTTTTTTTTCTTTTGCTATATCAGAATAGAGAAAATATTATTTTGGGGCAAAATACAAATGAATAGTTTGACCCATAATAAGATCCAACTTTAGTTAGTGACACAAACTGTGTTTCACCAAATACTATGGAATCTTTGATTAGTCAAGCTATTTTTCTTGTCATAAACTGCACAGATACACAGTTTTTATCCTTTTTTTGCTGAAATCCAAATAAACGACCATGGTGATAAAACTAACCATTAAAAAATGACCATTAAGTGTAGAATCACTGGCCAGCAACTTGCTTTTCAACACTTCATTGCAGGACTACTATGCAAATGTTGGACTGGTACATGAAACTTGATGAAAGTCCTGACTTATTGTCCCTTTTTTGGTGTCCACTGCTGACTTTAATATAAGTAAGCATTCCTATAAAAACACAGATGTTGAACATTTTTGTTAATGCTTTGTTTCTAAAAAGCGGTCTGGATGGGTAACATTTGCCCTATAAAAAGCACTAAATTATAGATCCACCTCAGTGTTAGGAATGTTAACAGGGTAGGCCAAGGTAGTGCCATGTAAGACCTGACCTCCTAGCTTGGCTTTTGAAATGAAGTTTTACTAGCTATTAATTCCAAGTTCCAAGCCTTTGAATTTGCTGTTCTGAAAAAAAAAAGTAATGAAAATGAGTTATAATGGGCACTCTTCTCCAATGATTTATGTATTTGGTTAATATCTCATGCTGTGAGCAAGCTCTGAAAGCAGTAGATTCTTCACAGTGTATAAACTTAACTTTGCATAAATGAAAAACAGTAAAGAAGCAATGCTGATTCAGGAT